TTAACAGAATTCTGATTCAGTAAAAGATTTTCCGGTATCTTCTACTACTACTATGAAATTTTAGCATACACACTGTTAAGTGAAACTAACATTTGATTTAGAAGTATTAGAACGTAGAATAGATGTAAAAAAAAAATTCTTTTATTTTTATTATTAAATGGATGATATGACTTTTTCATACTGTTTAAGGTTTTGAATGTTTGTGTGGAGTTGTCTATTTATAGGTGTGCTGGACTGTGTGTATATGAGTCAACTGTATAGTTGTCTATTTGTAGGTGTGCTGGACTGTGTGTATATGAGTTGATTAACTGTATAGTTGTCTATTTGTAGGTGTGCTGGACTGTGTGTATATGAGTTGATTAACTGTATAGTTGTCTATCTGTAGGTGTGCTGGACTGTGTGCATATGAGTTGATTAACTGTATAGTTGTCTATTTGTAGGTGTGCTGGACTGTGTGTATATGAGTTGATTAACTGTATAGTTGTCTATTTGTAGGTGTGCTGGACTGTGTGTATATGAGTTGATTAACTGTATAGTTGTCTATTTGTAGGTGTGCTGGACTGTGTGCATATGAGTTGATTAACTGTATAGTTGTCTATTTGTAGGTGTGCTGGACTGTGTGCATATGAGTTGATTAACTGTGTATAGTTGTCTATTTGTAGGTGTGCTGGACTGTGTGCATATGAGTTGATTAACTGTATAGTTGTCTATTTGTAGGTGTGCTGGACTGTGTGCATATGAGTTGATTAACTGTATAGTTGTCTATTTGTAGGTGTGCTGGACTGTGTGCATATGAGTTGATTAACTGTATAGTTGTCTATTTGTAGGTGTGCTGGACTGTGTGTATATGAGTTGATTAACTGTATAGTTGTCTATTTGTAGGTGTGCTGGACTGTGTGCATATGAGTTGATTAACTGTATAGTTGTCTATTTGTAGGTGTGCTGGACTGTGTGCATATGAGTTGATTAACTGTATAGTTGTCTATTTGTAGGTGTGCTGGACTGTGTGCATATGAGTTGATTAACTGTATAGTTGTCTATTTGTTGGTGTGCTGGACTGTGTGTATATGAGTTGATTAACTGTATAGTTGTCTATTTGTAGGTGTGCTGGACTGTGTGTATATGAGTTGATTAACTGTATAGTTGTCTATTTGTAGGTGTGCTGGACTGTGTGCATATGAGTTGATTAACTGTATAGTTGTCTATTTGTAGGTGTGCTGGACTGTGTGTATATGAGTTGATTAACTGTATAGTTGTCTATTTGTAGGTGTGCTGGACTGTGTGCATATGAGTTGATTAACTGTATAGTTGTCTATTTGTAGGTGTGCTGGACTGTGTGTATATGAGTTGATTAACTGTATAGTTGTCTATTTGTAGGTGTGCTGGACTGTGTGCATATGAGTTGATTAACTGTATAGTTGTCTATTTGTAGGTGTGCTGGACTGTGTGTATATGAGTTGATTAACTGTATAGTTGTCTATTTGTAGGTGTGCTGGACTGTGTGCATATGAGTTGATTAACTGTATAGTTGTCTATTTGTAGGTGTGCTGGACTGTGTGCATATGAGTTGATTAACTGTATAGTTGTCTATTTGTAGGTGTGCTGGACTGTGTGCATATGAGTTGATTAACTGTATAGTTGTCTATTTGTAGGTGTGCTGGACTGTGTGCATATGAGTTGATTAACTGTATAGTTGTCTATTTGTAGGTGTGCTGGACTGTGTGCATATGAGTTGATTAACTGTATAGTTGTCTATTTGTAGGTGTGCTGGACTGTGTGTATATGAGTTGATTAACTGTATAGTTGTCTATTTGTAGGTGTGCTGGACTGTGTGTATATGAGTTGATTAACTGTATAGTTGTCTATTTGTAGGTGTGCTGGACTGTGTGCATATGAGTTGATTAACTGTATAGTTGTCTATTTGTAGGTGTGCTGGACTGTGTGTATATGAGTTGATTAACTGTATAGTTGTCTATTTGTAGGTGTGCTGGACTGTGTGTATATGAGGGGAGAGGTGGACTGTGTTCCGTTAGATTAAGTTTACCTCTCTTAAAACTGAGACCAAGGCGAGATCTTGTACAAACCCTACTGGTAAGTTGAACTTACATAAGAAGACTGACTCTCTTTAATTATTTTTAAGGATTTCTTGATTTACCCCCCACTCCCCTTATTTTATTACATATATTTCATTAATAGATACTCTTAAAGGAATAAAATATGATCAATATTCACATGTATTTCTAAAATCTTTGTTTCGCTTACAGCATGAAATGATCCATGCCTATCTGTTTGTTACAGATAACAATAAGGTAAGTACATGTAATGGTTACAGTTTAGATGTAGTTACAGAGAATAGATCTGAAATTTGAAATGAATGAATTTAGTAAAACTTGCTTATATGTAAATTCTGGAGACATTTCCTTTTAGTTCTAATAATCAAGATTCTTAAAAGTGGTATTAGAATGTGTGATGATATGAGATACTTAGAGAATCCTTAGCTTCATTTTAACCGAGATTTCTTTATATAATTAAGTTTCTTAATCAAGGTTATGTAAGGTAAATTTAACTACTAACTTAATATAAGTGCAATTGATTTTTCAATTCTTTCAGGATCATGATGGCCATGGACCAGAGTTTCACAAACACATGTATCGCATCAACAAGGAGGGTGGTGTCAATATTACTGTAAGTCCTGTACATCCATACCTAGTGGGAAATTATCACACCACTTGGTGTAGCATTATAGAGCAATGATAGCATTTGTCTATGAACTTGATAAAAAACGAAATCCCTATTTATGATGTTACCATGAAACTAGCTTAACGTGTGCCTAGGTTTTGCGACTTTTATATAGAAAGTCATTACACCTTTAATGTTTGTAAAGTAATTTGTATAATTACGGTCTATATTTAAATACATGTTTTATTGTACAAATTTGGCATTGAAGTCATTATGAGGAAAATTGAATTTATCCAAATTTTTTGGTTAAACTTAATGCAGTGATAAAAAATATAACATATATTATATACTATTCAATAATAGTGGAAACAATAAAGTCTAAACAGTTTACCGGGGGGGGGGGGGGGGGGGGGGGTATTTTACTTTGTACTGGATAATAGCATTACAATTTTTAGATATACATTTATAATTTGTTAATTTTGATTTAGGTGTATCATACATTTCATGATGAAGTGGCAGAGTACAGACAACACTGGTGGAGGTGCAATGGACCGTGTCAGAGCCGGAAACCGTACTTTGGTTATGTGAAGCGAGCCATGAATCGACCCCCAGGACCTCGTGACCCATGGTTCAAAGATCACCAGAACTCCTGTAATGGAACATTTATCAAGGTCAAAGAACCTGAGAATTATGGGAAGAAAAAGAAGAAAGATGATGGAAAAGCTGGAAAGGGAATGGATAAATCAGGTTAATTTTTACAAATTTTTGCACATAGCAGTAAATTCTACATCTAAATAATTTTATGCATTTGAAGAAATTTTCTAAGAAATCCATCAAGATGCTTACATCTTTATATTTCTGAAAATTATCCTTATTTTCCAGCAATAGAAAAGAAAAGTCCAAACAAAGATATAAGAACTTTCTTTGGAAAGGGCCATGTGTTATCAAGTAAATCACCCAAGAAAAACAGTCCATCAAAACTGCCAAATAATTCCTCAGAATTTTCCAACCAAACTAATGTTGTGGAAAAGACTGCAACAAATTCAAAGAATCTGCCTAAGTTTTATGACACAGATTCAGATGATGAACTTTTTATCACTGATCCACATAAGAAACTCACGAAGCAGAAAAATTCTAGTTCTGACTTCAGTTTTGATAAGAGAGACCTTCCTGAGGCTATTCTGAGAGACTTGTTATCAGACTCTGATGACGAACTCCTGTGTGGTGCTCTAGAAACTCAGGAAAATGGTACAACATCAGACGCTTCATATCCCGATTCAAACTCCATAAAAAATACAAGTATCTCTGAGGAGAAGGATACAGAAATCTGTGATAATTCCAGCAAGTCTTCCATTTCTATTCCCTTAAATTCTAAGGCTAGTGATAATGTAGGGAGTGATGTCCAAAACAAACTGAGAGAAATCTGGGGTAAAAAGTATCAAAATCCAGTGAAGAATACCGATAAGACATTGGGCAAGATTTCGGGCAAAAGACCTTTATCAAAACCAGAACCTGTGCCTCCACTGAAAAAAATCAAATCAGACAAAAAGATAATTGATTTAACAGAAAAGAACAACATCAATGATGATGTTGCTTCTTGTTCAGTGAAAAATTTGTGTTCAACTTCCAGTATAGATCATTTCAAAGCAAGTAATAATCCTGTGTCTTCACCACTTAATACAGTGGAAACTGACGTCTGTAAATGCCCAGTGTGTAATAAGGACGTCTTGGCCACACATATTAATCAGCATTTAGATATGTGTCTTGGGGTTACATAGTAGATCATACCATATTATTGCATACCAGAAATGTGTTCTACTCAAAGCAGGGCTACCCTCTTCAGATGGGATTGCTAAGTAAGATATATGCACAGTGTCTATATTGTGCAGAAATAAGTTAACACTAATTTATTCTATTTCTCCAATAAACCATTACCAGTATATCCTATTTTTGTGATGACTTTTCATTTTTTGCAATGTCATAATGACATGTGTGCAAGTGGACATATAATACAGTGAATACTGTGCCAATTTTTTGAAAAATTTCAACCCAAGTGAACAGTGAGAATGCTAAGGTGAATTCATTTGCCCTGATAGGGATACTGACACTTCCATCCATGTCATTGATATAGATGAAGAGCAAGATTTTCAAATTCAGTGCACTTTGGGGAGAATTTCATCACTTTTTAACTTAAGTCAATTAACTACCTTTCATTCTCAAATTCTAGACACATTTTTAATCAATCTCTGTATTTTATCCATCTCACAAACCTTTAAAGTTGTCTGTATGGACCAATAAACCATCTAACAAAAAATTAAAAACAAGCGAGTTTATTGGTCTGTCGAGATAACTATAATTATAAAGAGTTTGGAGGTAGATGAAATTTACAGGTTGATTAAAGAATGTATTAAGTATTAGGGAATGAAAGGTAATTGATTGATCAAGTACACTGGAAAGTGGAGAAATTCTTCCCAATAGTGCGCAGAAAATCTTTCACCTTTTTTGCATTACAGTATCTGTAGCGTTATGGTCAAAGACTAATATATAAAACCATAACAATACAGTTCTGCAGCTAGGTGGGGCCACAATGGACGATAAAAGTTTTAAATAGGAATATGCAGGGAAAATCTTCTCAAGAACAGCAAAGCCATGATCGGTCATATTTTATATGGAAGCATCTTCAGGTGGTGTAGATTCAAATCTGTTCAAAACACGACCCCCGGGGTTGGGTGGGGCCACAATGGACAATCAACTGAAAGGTACTATTCAAGATATTCTCATCAAACTTCATACACTAAGTACAAATTTTCGTTTTGCATTACTAATATACATTTGGCAGGACATTCATGTCCTATGAACATATTTCTAGTTTAATTGATCAACCTTAAATATTTTATACTGTGTAATTTATACTAGAATGACATGTCTCCCAGAAATGTGAAACAAGAGGCCCAGGAGTCACATTACTAACCTGAGCATTGGCTAGGAAAAAAGCAACAAATTTGTTTAGTAGTGAAAAGCTTAAATGCATAATCTTTGCTGTTCTAGAGAAGAAAATGTTTGAAGGTTTTTCCTACATATTCCTATGTACAACTTTGCTCGTCCATTATGGCTTCAACCTACCCCCAGGGGTCATGATCTGAATAAACTTGAATCTACACTACCTGATGATGGTTCAATATAAATACAATGTATGTCCAATCATGGCTTAGCTGTTCTTGAGAATATTTTTGAAGATTTTTCCTATATATTCCTATGTAAAATGTTTATCGTCCATTGTGGCCCCACCCTTCCCTAAGGGTCATGATTTAAACACACTTCAATCTACACTGTCTGAAGATAAATCCATACAAGTTCATCTTTCCAGGCCCAGTGGTTCTTGAGAAGAAGATATTTAAAAGATACCTTTAATTTTTCTCTAATTCATAATTATCTCCTCTTGGAAGAGGGCATGACCCTTCAATTGAAGAAACTTGAATCCCCTTTACCCTAGGATACTTTGTGGCAAGTTATGTTGAAATTGGTCGAGTGGTTCTTGAGAAGATGAAAATGTAAAAAGATTACAACAACAAAGAAGATATCGACAGATAAAGGACAAATTTTGATCAGAAAAACTCTTCAGCATTCGACTCAGGTGAGCTAAAAACTGACCGATTACCAAACATTCTTCATCCTGAGAACCATATAATTTACATCCATGTCAGTTTGCCCTTGGATATATGTGTAATCTCTGAATTAATTGAAGGCTTATGAAGGGCTTTCTCTATCTCGGAAAATTCATTTGAAGAAAATTGCTATTAAATTTACATATATTTTATTTTTTTTTCCCATCTTACCGATTACAGATTTTCTAAAAAGGGAAAAAAAAGATAAATTTATAGTGAAAATATACAACAAAACTTAAATAAAATATTTTATAAAGAAACATTTTATTTGAATTTAATTAATATCTTAACATCTAAAATAACAATGTACATGTATAATAATTTAAATAAAAGTATAAAATACATTCTAATATAATGTCGGAGGATATAGCGCTGCATGTCTTTTCCATCAAACACCAAACTGTCAAATCCAACTAAACATACTTTTTACCAACATATCGCACTGCAATTGCATGCAGAAGATTTGATAAATAGAGTCCATGATATTATTCTTTCCATATCCTTTATTCTGTCCTGAGAGTTGCTTCGTGTTGCTCCATGTCGATAAAAATTGGTTGGGATGTCTGGAGAATTGTTGATTTTTGCGAAAGTATTTTCCAAATCTTGCATCTTTATCTTTACTGAATGATGAAAAATGAATTCCAGTTCTGTGGTAAACACTACATGTTTTATATAATACATGGATAACTTCTTCACTTAAAGGACAAAGATCACTACAACATGAACAACACAAATTTTCCTAGCAGCTTACATTTGCTCAAGTTTCTGAGTGAACAACCAAATTTGTTTTGAAACTTCTTTCGTCAGTTCTTCTTTTGATGCCTTTGGATGATCTTTGACAAACTTTGCAATGTTCATGATGGTTTGATTACGTAATGCATCTACATCTCTCTGACCACTCAGTCTTTGGTACAGTTCATATCCGATTTTTAAGGCTGCCATATTCTCTACCATTTTCGGCGCCTTGTCGTCATTTACCGCCCAAACTAAAGTTCCTATCTGCTGTAATAATTCAGCATTTCCTAGACTCCATTCATCAGCCATATTAAGGATTTTCGGAGTTGTATTTTGCAATGAAGAAGAAACGAGATGAAACCGGAAGTGAAAAGAAAACGGAAGTAAACAAAAATACACACAGCGCACCTAGCGGCTTAAATGTGAACGACATGATGTTGGTTATGAACAAAAACTTGACATTTGAAGGCTGTTGTGATGAATTGGTGCTGATAAGTTACGCAGATTACAAAATGGTGTAACAAACACGGGGGCTATAAACACAGTCAACAAAATACAGGTAATGAAGATGAATCCAATTTGATGATCATCATAAACATTCCATCTGGGATTCAGGACAATGAACTGCAATCAGTGTGTACAGTGAGGTGACAATAAGCTTATGTAATGTTTAAAACATAAAGCTGGAATATTTACTTTTATTTTTCTCTGTATGTAGGGAGATACTGTCAATTAAATGATTGTAAAATCAATATTTTTATGTCAAATTCTGTTTTCAAGTCAGCTATTTTGTATTTTTAGCAATGCTAAACCAAATACCCATATAATACAATCTTGTAAAATATTTGGCATCTTAGATTGCTTGGAAAAAGGTAAAACATGAAGGGATATTCATTTGCTAATAACTTAACTTAAAATAATTGAAAGGTCAATGCTTGAAATTAGTTATAAGTATATAGTGAGAAATATCCTAGAGTTTGTGAACTTCTTTTATAAAGGAATATTTTTTGTCTCAAACCAATGAGGTATTTTTTTTATTTATGTAGAATTTTGTCTCAGTCACTAAAGTTCTTAGTCATGGATGGACTTCAAACTGAAGAATTTCAAATAAATGATGTGGTGAATATAAATTTATTTACAGTATAACAGGAAAGGGAAAAAAATGTCAGTAATGAGACCAGAACAGGACCCAAAACCTGGGTCCCCTGAATCACCAGCCAGGTGCTCCACCAACCAAACCATACAGCCACTGATCAACAAACCCGCCTGACCCTCACTTTTCCCTACCTAAAAGTTTTTTTACCCAAAAGATACTAAATTAGTCTCTTTCCTGACAGACTTTCACCTGTCACTTTCTTAGCGTAGCACAGGACCATGAATTACTAGTCAGGTACTCTTCCAGTTAGGCTACCTGACAGGTCCCTATGAATTACTAGACAGGTGCTCTTCCAGCTTGGCTACCAAACAAGGCCCCATGAACTACTAGTCAGGTGCTTTTAATTTGGCTACCTGACAGGGCCCCATGAATTACTAGTTAGGTGCTCTTTCAGCATGACTAACTGACAAGGCACCATGAACTACTAGTCAGGTGCTCTTCCAGCTCTTCCAACTGGGCTACCTGACAGGTCCCCATGAATTACTAGTCAGGTGCTTTTAACTTGGCCACCTGACAGGGCCCCATGAATTACTAGTCAGGTGTTCTTCCAGCTGGGCTACCTGACTGGTCCCCATGAATTACCTAGTCAGGTGCTCTTCTAGCTTAGCTACCTGAAAAGGCCCCATTTAATAACTAGTCAGGTGCTTTTCTAGCTTGGGTACCTGACAGGGCCCCGTGAATTACATAGTCAGGTGTTCTTTTAGCTTGGCTATCTGACAGGGCTCCATGAATTAGGCCCCATTTAATAACTACTCAGTCAAGTGCCAGCTGGGCTACCTACTTAGCTACCTGACAAGGCCCCATTTAATCTCAGGTGCTTTTCTGGCTACCTGACAAGGCCACTTGAATTACTAGTAGGGATGGGTATCACTAAAAATTTTGTATCGTGTTATATCACAATTTTTTCCCAAAATATAATGATAGTATCATGATACTTTTACATGCAATTTTTACAATGATTTTAAATGAACATTCATTATTTTTCTTAAAAAAATATGCTAGAAAAACAAAATTTCACTTTTTTGAAATTTTTATGTTCATAAAATTAATCATGTTTGGATGGCAAGATGCCATTCTTTTTACCATTTACAACATTTTTTAGACTCTCTGTAATATTTATTGTTATTTGAAAGATTAAACAAATAGTAGTACAGTATTTTTCACTATTTTCTTTGCAATGGGTATAGATATTTTACATCCGGAAAACTAAAAATATATCATGAAAGAAATATGTGTTTGAAGTAGGATAATGACATCCAACAAACAGTGTAACGCCAGGAGTTGGGAAAATTCAGGTTCTTCCCCAGTGACTATTTCTGTAAGCATCCATAACATGACATATTACAAGCAGGTTTCCATACATTGTATTTGATTATGTAGAAACTTAGGTGAATTCTTCTTCCTACAGCAGTGTGTCTCTAAATCTCAGTACATGTATATTGTATACTCTCCCCCACCTTCAAGGCACAAAGTAAGATCACTTGACACAATATTCTAAAGGAAATACCTTATAAAAAGAATTGTAAAATTTGACAGTTTACAGAGACATAAAAAAGAGGAGTGTACCTAACCACATAACTTTGAGGATGAAAGAAAAAAATATACATATTTTAAATATTAAAATAAATCTTTTAACATATATCGTAATTTTTAATAGGTGTGAATCTAGCGAGTTGAGCAGTAGTGCATGTGTGACACTCATTGAGAGGACATGCTTAACTCTGAAGTGCCTTTTCATAGTTATGAACCTGTGTATGAAGTATCTCATTGAAAAATACATTTGACAGTTCCTGCTATGTCTTTGTTATTTTGTCTTTATAGATGTGAATTACAGTTCCATGGATTGTGTGATGGTAGATAAGGGTCCAGTTTCTCACAAGCCACCACCATCCAGTGGCTGCCAGAGTTCACCACTCCTGGGACATGGCAGTCCCACCAAACAGAACAGAAGTTCCATCAAGTATGGGGAACTTATTATACTAGGGTAAGTGAAGGTACATACACACATATTTATCAAGATGGGACAAAAGAATATGTAGGAAAAACTACTTTAATTAAAAAGAATACTATTACTGGTTAAGTATTGACACGGAAATCTGTAGGAACAACTACTGAACAAAAATACTATAATTTAAGAACAGAAAGAGGATGTGTGACTTGAATGAGTTCAGTGGCCCATTCTTCTCTTCTTATTTCAATCAAAACACAACAACCAAAAAAAAAATATCTTAATTTAAAAAGAATCAAAATACAAACTCAGACAGACATTTATCATGTTAATGGTTATATATATATTTTAACAGCATTTGTCATATGTACTGGTATTCATATGAAGAGATTTTCCAGCAAATTTCATATTTTTAATTATTCAGAATTATACTAATAAGCTTCCAGAAGTAAAATGCACATAAAAACAAAAAACAACAATTTAAACAGAGAGGTTAAATTATCCTAAGCCGTTGAGCGATTTTGTTGTAGATATAATGGTCATCTTCCGAGCGGTGATAGAGGAAGGAAGAAGAGCAAATTTATTCTCGGCAAGAGGACTTCAGGAAATGGGGTCAAACCATACAGAAAACATGTGGTTAAAAATGCACAGGCTGCTAAGGTATAACATAGGTGATGTCTTGTGGGTATTCATTTCTACACAATTTCTCTGAAATTGTGAAAATATGAAATTGCAATTTTCTATCATAAAACATATAAGGAAAAAAAAAATACAGTGAAAGAATTTTATATAAGCTGCCTCCATAAAAGTCAAATGTGGACAATGTTATATATATTTGTATAAAAAAGATAAGGGGAAAATGTTGACATTTTTGTCAATGCTATAATACAACTACTGATTATCTGATATTTTTCATAAAAGAGGAAAAAATGCAGAATTTTGGTTTGATTTTGACTTAAGTTTTGTAGAGCACAAATCGGCTTAACAACCATTTTCACATATTTCATCATATTATCATTGTACACATTATATCAAAAGATGGAGTCTGAGAAGGCCTGTACTCAATACTTTCCAATCAAATTATCACTGTAATATACCCTGGAGGTATAGTTTCTCTCAGCAAGGAAAAAAAAAACCGCTGTCTCTAACAGCTTACTGTTATATTTTCTAGGCTCTACAGGATCCCCACTCCCACTCTGTGACCTACACGTTGTCTCGCAACCAAGCAGTGGTGGTAGAGTATAAACAAGACGATGACACAGACATGTTTCAGGTAAAGAAAAATAATATTAAATACTGCAAAAACACATTTTATTTGTGTCCAAGAAATTTTTGTTAAGTTTGCGAGAGTCTCGTCATCGCGAATATTTCTCGCCTAGAACCAGTCCTTAATGTCTCTTTGTCTATTAGCAACACGCCAACAGATAATAAAAGGCTTGATCACTAAAGTCAATTGTATAACCTTATGAGCACCACCTTCTTCTTTCTAGATTGGGAGATCTTCTGAGGTTCCGATCGATTTTGTTGTCATGGATACTATCCCAGGTCACTTGCGAAGCATGAATGATGGGATAACCCAGAGTACAATATCACGGTTTGCCTGTAGGATACTTGTGGATAGGAATCCACCATATACAGCTAGGATCTATGCTGCGGGTTTTGACTCAGGGAGAAATATATTTCTTGGGGTAAAATTCTGAAGTAATTTATGATTGTCAACAATCACAGCATTCTTAAGTGCTTATAAATCAAGTAAAACACAGAATATCAAGGGGTGATTTGATGTTGCAGATTTAATCAGATTTTTTTAAACCCAATTTCCTTGTACCGGTAATCTAATTTAGAAATATCTTTTCACTTTATCTTCCAGGAAAAGGCTGTCAAATGGTATGTTGGGGAAGAAATTGATGGACTGACAACCAATGGTGTGTTCATAATGAAACCTCAGGAGGGATTTTATCCCCCTGGAAAACCTGGGGTGTGGAGGGAAGTGTCAGTGGGAGGGGCTATTTATCCCCTCCGAGAGTCCAGATCTGCCCCCCTCAAAACTAACCAGGTAAGTGTACGCATATGTTATCACTAGATTGAAATATATATGTGCATATTTTTTGCTTCACAATTATAATTTTAAACCTGATATTTTGTGTAATTACCAGAAATGTGACAAGGGCATTTCTTCAGTATGTGATTCACAATTAATTACTCGTCTGACTGATTGAATAGCATATTGCTTATTAACTGATGATGTCAGTCAATCCCTTTTTCCAAACAATTCTAACTGATATAAAAAATACAATGTATAAATTTTCTTTTTCTTAGATAAAGGATGAGGATAATGTATTACAAGATGGTACACTAATAGATTTGTGTGGTGCTACATTACTATGGAGATCTGCTTTAGGACTTATTTCTTCCCCGGTAAGTCAGAAGAAGTGAAATAATGCATGGTCAGCATTCTGAACAAAGCACCTTGAGTGTTAGTATAACAAGTATCCAATGTATTGTTGACAAATTATCTGTTGTATAAAAGTGAACAAAAAACAATGACAAATTTAAATTTATACTTATTGAACATATTCTTGGGTATGAAGTTTTTACATAAAAAGAGTAGCCTTAATGACTACATGTATTTTTAAAAACAATTGCTCCTTACAGAGTGAACATGAATTTGAGGACCTGGTAGAGACAATTAATGCTGGCCGTCCCCAGTGTCCCGTTGGCCTAAACACCCTGGTACTGCCTAAGAAAGGCACTCTGGGGCTGGCCGACAGACAGCCCTATGTGTATCTACAGTGTGGCCATGTGCATGGACAACACCAGTGGGGGCAGAAGGACGATAAAACTGCCAGGACCTGTCCACTGTGTCTAAAGGTAAAATTAGTAGATCTTGTTATGTTACTTTCTTCATAGTATCACTGTAAATGTACTTTTGAAAAATTATGAAGATTTCTAAGATTGTCGCTATTTACATGTACATTAAATGCACTTTAACTTTTTACATTGGGACAAATTATCACGGAAAATTTGTGACCGCATACATAGCATAAGTTGATACCACACAAAAAAAAGTACTTCTGCAGTATTTGTAAGAGAATATATTTAGGTCTCATGATGTATTTCATATGATGATGTATCACAGAATTATGAAAAGATTACACTGAAATTTTGAAAACATCAGAGAATTGATATTTTGCAGGATGGAACTTTTATCAAACTGAAGATGGGATGTGAGTTGAGTTTTTACGCCGATTCGGATCCACCCACACATTGTTTTAATCCCTGTGGACACATGGCTTCAGAGAAAACAGTCAGGTAACACCCATGTGTCTTATGTTTACAGACTAAATTTAGAACTTTATGCTATGAGAATTAGAAAACTTAAAATGCGGCTAACTAAATGGAAGCTTTTTCTTCCAAACTTTTATTCAAAATTGAAAGGTGTTTAAGTGTAACCTCCATGACTTATTTCCTCGTATTATACTTGGATCATCTTTTCATATTCTTGCAAGGCATATTGGACTTTCTTAATTTATGATAACATCTCTCGGGTGGTTTCTGGGATATCTCTTATAAACATATTGTTATTCCCCTTCAGATTATGACAGTTTGATTTATTTGAATATGATCTATATTACAGGTACTGGTCTGAACTTCCTGTGCCACATGGTTGTCAAGGTTTCCATGCCATCTGTCCATTCTGTGCCACACCCCTCAGTCTGGAGGCAGGGTTTATCAAGCTGATTTTTCAGGATAACACAGACTGAATCTCCTGTGATAATTAAGTGAAGTTCATTGTTTATTAAGATGAGGATTATGTTACAACTATACAGAGAAAAGATTTTGTCTCACTGCATACGAGATGAACATGTATATCAGAAAACCTTTGCACCAAAAATTAATTGGGTCATAGTTTCAGAAAATATTAAATGGCTCATAGTGTCAGATAATATAAAAGAAAAATTAAGATTTCATCATTTGCTATGTATTAGTGGTAGGAAAGCTGGGAAAATGTGTCTGTTTTTATTTAGTATGTAATGCAGAGAGAAATCTGCCAATCTATCTGATTGAAGATTCACATACTGTCAAGATTTTTCTCTTTTAGACAAAATGATACCAGTAGCTAGAATAATATGGTACAATATGATTAAAATCTGATCATTAACATGGACTTTTAAAAAATAGAAATTTTAAAATCTATTTAAAAAGATTATTATTTGTAGGAAATATTTTTCTCACCTTTAAAAGGTATTTGTATAGACTTTATTTTGTTCATTATTTTTTTAGTCCCATTTTTTCAACTTTCACAACACTCTGCAGCATTTTGGGAACAAGTACAGTCATTCCAGTTTTGTTTATACTAGCCAGGGAAAATGTTTCTGGTTACTTTTGTTGTGGGAGATGCGAGAAAAAATACTTAAAGATGATTAGCAAAGGGTATCTGAACCCCTTATATTTTTGACTGCAATGCATAAGAAAACATTAATGTTCAAGAAATCTTTTAAATAGTTTCAGTATTTTCACACATTTTGTAAACTTTTTTAAACATAGAAGAACTTTTGGCAATTTAAATTTCAACTTTATTACTGAGTAAGGTTTGATATTCCCCAAAAGGACAGGTGTCTCTAATGTAAATGTTTTTCTTTGCTATCAATCCTCACAGAGTGAAATTGTTTGTTAAAGTAAATTGATAATGATCAGGACTAGTTTTTGTAAAATATTAAAATGCTGATGCCATTTCATTGTATTTTGTTGCTGTATTTTTATTTACAGTATTGTGGGAATTACAAATCTACAGAATGCATTTTAATGTAGGTAAAATATCGCACCTAATAGCTATACATCAAAATCATTCATTTTATCAGGTACATATCACATCACCTTACATGGCCATATTGTAAAATGAATTTGCCATCATATCTTGTGTTTGTCTTGTACTTGTAAAATTGGGAATCTGTACATATACTGGGCATTAGGTAATATAAATATTGTATTAATGCCATGTGATGAACTTTTCTTGCCTTTTCAAGCATAAATTTTAATTGATGTAAGGGGGATTAATTCATTTTAGGCTATACTCCTTTCAAAGTATTTGATGTCAAATCCTGATTGTATCTCTATTTATTTTGCTTATTTTAGAATTTATAGATCTTTATATCATTTAGTTAACCTGTAGTTAAAAGTCTGTGTAGATTTTCAATGTTTGTTCTGTTTGTTAAGCTATTTAAAGTTTTTTTTTCTTTTTGCACATTAATACCTCATGTTTACAAGTATTTACTGGGTATTTTGTTCAGAGAAAAATGTGGTTCAAGACTTCTGTTAATTTTGTTCTATATTAAACATTGAAATGATCGAAATTAACTTTATGAAATTGATCATTGTATTTTTCCATTTATAGGGGAAAAATGAACACCAACAACATAAGAAAATACATGATTAACTAGTTATTAAATATTAATAAAAACCTTCTTTTTCACAAAGCTGCAGTGGTACTTATGTAAACGTAAAACCACCTGAAATTGATTGATTTTTGTGCCAAACTTCCAATGAATTCTTGCCTCTTTGTTGATGTTAATTATGAGTTGTCTTTCCTACCTTAATTCTCTTGGTGTTTTACCATAATACTCTTATCATTTTTTGAGAAAGAGAATATAGATTGCATTATATATTACCATGGTTAAAACTATATAGGGTTACTTTGTTCATATGTTTTTAACAAGAAGCTTTTTTTATTGTCTAGAAATAATGAGGTGTAATTGAAAAATGCTTACCGGTATCTAAGTTTACTAAAATAAAGGATTTATTCTTTATACAGGGAAAAGTCGAGTTAAGTAACAGTAACCCTCAACCAAAAGAGGTTACTATACCATGGATTTTTTTCCTTAAGTAGAATTTTAAAATTTTAAATATCTTTAACAATAGTTCTTTAAAATTTTGCCACATACATCTGAGTAGTAAATACTATTGACAGACAGTTGCACAAGTTTCATTTTCTTTTATCACATCTTTTAGAACATCGTTCCTCCCTGACACACCCAATTATAAAAAAAAAATCAATAGTAGCAAACAGTTTGTTATTATTCTTATTTTTAAACTGTTGGTGTAGTTAATAATATTAAGATAGAAATTTAATTTTGAGGGGTTTGGCAGTCTGTTGGTTTGCTGACAGCTGTATTTGAGAATAGTTGAACATTTTTTCACAGCTTCATGCCCTGTATGTTCATAAAATTAATTCTAGTCAGATTCAGTGTGAAAAAGAAATCCAATTTAGTTGACAAATTAAAAAAAAATAAATTAATCCCTAGAAAGTTAAATTTTGTAAATACTTTTTGGTTTATCTTTTTCCTATGAACAAAGCACATGTATCACTATTAAATGAGAACCGTCCATATTTGGAGTAGGAAAATGCATTTCAGTTATTTTACATATTTTGTATTTTGATAAAACTGTTATAAACAGTGATTTGTATTGGAAACTGAGATTAGTACAATTAATAGTGAGATTTTGTCTATTAAATGTCTATTAAATCAAATCCAGGTCTGAAAACAACTTTCAATATTTTTTTTAAAATAATATTTTACTTTGCATTTGTGAAATTATTACATGAAGAAATTAAGAACCATCATCACAATAATATATTACTTAACCACAAACCATTTTCTTAAAGTGATGCAATTAAATTGGCTTCAAAAACCTAATTCCAGTATTCTTTTACAGTATTAGGGAAGTTAACCTTTTTCTCCAAAAAAAGTTGCATTGTAAATGTGTATTAGAAAAAAAATCTGCATGAAAATATTCAGTTTCATAGTTTTCCTCATAGCTAGCTATAACGATTATGATATTGCTTGGATATGGTATCTTATTTCTTGTTTTTGCATAATGTCTGTGTTATTGATTTAGACGGGCCTCTCAGATATACAGATAACTAGTCAGTCATGATTAATTGGTCATTGTTAATCACACCATATGTAATCATGCTCTTTATGTATAATCCTTTTCTGTTAATTACCTAACAGAGAGTATAATTAGTATCTTTAATGAAAAAGCACTCTGAGTGTCTAAATAATGTCTCTTATTGCATGTCACAGGGCTGTATGTTATAAAAATCATGTACGTCTAAAGTATGTCTAGAATTTTTCATCCCTACCAATGTATTATACGCTAGATGCATTATTTATAGTAGTGCTATTCTACAGTTGGTGGTAATATTTTATTTGAGAGTAATCAAAGATTCAACCTGTTTTCTGCACATTTTTAATCTGTTATCGTAATTACTTTCCAGAAGGAAAAAAAATATTATTCAAACTGTGCTGTAATCTTTAAAAAAAAACTGAAATTTTTTGCAGATATGATGTATATTTAATTAGTCATGCTGTTATCTTTCATTTAATGTACAATTAACATTTACATGATTTATTGGGAAATATTTGAAACTGCTAGACTGATGTGCCAGAAGTAATAAACCAATTTTGACCAAAATTTATTTATTTATTTTTTGCAATTAATATATTGCTGTATCAAGTGTCCCTGTAAGTAAATATGTCACAAAAACTGTGATCAAGTTTCCATGTAAACATAGTATATTTTCATTTTAAAGTATTTCTTTTTTGCAGGGGTGTTTATTGAAAAGTCAATTGCACTGGTTTCTATTGTTGTTGACATGTTTTCTAGCTAAGCGTAAGATTTGTTTACCCTCTTCTTCTTAAAGGGGATGAGGGTAAACAAATTGGATACTTTGCTAGCAAAGATGTTGTGGACAGAAAAAAGGTGTACACATATTCTGTAAAATTATTAAATAAAATCTAGAATTTATTTGACTTTGTTACATTTGATCTGATTGAGACCAAATTAACTGCAATGAATAATTTCATTTGATTTGCGTTTGCCTGAGACAAAGGATTGAAGTTAAGAAGGTGATATTTCTCAGAGCCTCTGAGTAGGCATATCTGAATTCACTATGTGCCCTTTGTGACATTATAAATCAGAATAAGGGTTATTCTGTCTACTAATGAAAGGAAAACATATAAATATTAAACTCACACTATTAATGTGGGCTTGCCCTAATGGTCAAACCGAGAGTATTACAAATACAAGTATGCAGGCCTCAAGCATTGGCGTCGGAAGCAAATTGAAAGTGGGGGGGCTAAGTGTAAAAAAAAAAAAAACCTTCTCAAAAAACCTGACAAGCAAAAAAAAAAAAAAAAAAAAAAAAAGGAAATTTCCCAAACACGAAAATCCTATTTCGTGGGGGGGGGGGGGGGGGGGGGGGGGGGGTGTAAGATCTAACTTCACTTCCAAAATTTTTTTCCACATTCCATCCTTTTTCCCCATTTTTTACCCATACTTCGACATGTCTGTGGAAAGTGGGGGGGCTAAACCTACGAAACAATATTCAATGTCTATACTAAGTGTATATTTGGAAAAAAGTGGGGGGGCTAAGTCTACACTAGGTATATATTTTGGAAAAAAAGTGGGGGGGCTAAGCCCCCCCTAGCCCCCCCGGTTCCGACGCCTATGTCAAGAATACATTTAATTTCCATGGTTGAATGTATAAATTAACCATTTTAGTAACATTCTAGAAGCATCTAGGTCATAGATGTTAATGCATCTTGAAAAGATGGTTTGAATTAACCTTGTTAATATCAATCTGCCTCGTAATGTGTGTCAAAATTATTACTGTGGAATGGGATACCCTTCGATTGTAATGTGACAAACAATTTGGTATTAACGTCTCTTCCTCTGATATTACATGTATTACTTTATTGTGAATATCCAGAATTAAATAAGATCTAAAAAATTACACGGTTTTGTACATTAGCAAGTTCAATACATCGTTGTAGCCTAAGTGGGCGTGGTAAAAGGCTCGTCGTAAAGAAAAGGTGAAAGTGAAAGTAAAACTACCCATGATTCCAGAAAACATCATTTTTGAATCTCCATACAAAGAAGAGCTGAAAATGGCTACCGTCGTGTTGGCAAATCTTTGAAGCACAATATTTTAGCAAAGTTGACGTAATATTTTCAGTCATGTATTGCAGATAGTAGCAAGAGCCATGATTACCGCTAATTTTACACCATACTGATGATACAATGTCATGGCTAGGTGGAAGTTTAACGTCTATCACGGGTCAATTGTCAAATCTGACCAAAGATATTTTAACAGAGGGAACACAAGAAGTCAGTGGTATGTG